TAATGTTACTTGCTATTGTTGTGGTGCAAATGGACACTTTGCCTATGTATGTCCTTTGAAGAGATTGATAGCTCAAGGTAAAGTGAAGCAAATTTGGGTTCCAAAAGGAACTTTAAGCACTAACTCTCATGGACCCAAGCAAATTTGGGTACCAAAAATCAAAACTTAATTTTGTTTTGTAGGCAAAGTTGATGGCAAAGTCATAAGGAAAGCAAAGTGGATCTTAAAAAGACTTATGCCTCAACAAGAATGTTGAAGTGGAAGTGCAAAGGAAATTTGTTTTTAAATGCTCCACTCATATGCTCAAATTGGTATTATTTATTTTATTGTATTTATTCATTGAGTATAATTACATTAGCATGACTATTAATTATTGGTTTATGTGTGCTCACTCTTTAATACATATGCTTGTTGAGTATGATTTCATTTGATGTGTCTTTCCTAGTGTTTGATATGATTCTTGACATTAATGAATTTGATTATTAGAATTTGTGTATATTGATGCTTTGATTTGTGTATCTTGATCATATTCATGATATTTGATGATGCATACATTGATATCTGACTAAAGTTGCATCATTTAGTAGTTGATGTCCAATTTAAACTTAGTTAAATGAAGAAATATCATATTAAGGTGCATTCCCTTCAAAACAGCCCCAAACTTTCTGTTTGTCCCAATCAAGGCCAGTAGAGCCGGCTCATCCCTTTTCATAGTCGGCTCAACCAAAAACTTGAAAGTGTTCTCTCTCTACACCACAGCCGGCTCTAGGTTCACAGCCGGTTCAACCCAAAAAAATCGAGAGTCTTCTCTCTCTAAACCACAGCCGGCTCAAACCGTAGGCGACCCGACCTGGACTCGCTTCACAACCGACTCTGTAATTATAGTCGGCTCTCCTGCAGAATTTTAAAGCCACGGGTTTCTCTCTCCTCGCACTAGATCTGGCATTTTTTGGACCTCCCTCTCCCAAAACTCGCCATTCACTCTCTCAAATACCAAAATCTCTCAAAATCTACCAAAATCCATCCGTCAAATACTCAAATATCTTCAAATCCTTACCTACCCAACACAAAACCTCAAGCTTTTCACTCCAATTTGTGTGGGATTTGTTGAGTTCTCTCTCTCATGGCTTCAAGAAGGGGCGAAAGCAAGAGGAAACAGATTGGGAGTTCTAGTGTCGGTGGCCAAGCCCAGGAAGAAGGTAACCTCATTGATAATGCTCTGTTTGTGGATGATGATGCCATTAATCGCTATAATTTTGTCAAAAACTTGGCTATGCTACCATGCAATTGTGTGAAGTTTAGTCAATTTCCTCAAGGAGATATGCTTGTTGAACAGATATTTAGAGATATTGAGTGGATAAATTATTTAGAAATTAAGGAGCCTATGTATCATGAAATAGTTCATCAGTTTTATGCTAATTTGAAACCAAAAAAAGAATACATCCCGCACCATGGTTTTTGGGATATCATTTCAGTTTTTACCAAGAGAAATTTGTGCTACATTAGAAATACCTGAAGGAGGAGATGATTAGTTTGAAGGTGTAAATATATCTGAAGTTAGAGCCACAATTGCCCCAAATTGTACTACTGGACAAATTAATGTGGGATTTCTTACACCAGAACACAGAGCATTGCAGTGGATTATTAGTCGCATTCTTGCTCAGAGAAAGGGTTCCAAATCTGTTGTACTTAGTGGTGATCTCTTATGGTTTGATTATCTTCTCAAAAGGAAGAGGTTGAACCTTGGAAGATTCATTTACCGGAATCTAATCAAGACTTATTCATCAAACATGGGTCTTGCTTATGGTGCTTTAATTACTAGATTGGTGAAGAGGAACAATGTTGATCTTACACCCTTTATGCTTGGAAAGGTTCAAAGTGGGACTACACTCAATAAAGCTTCCTTTGAGAATATGCAATATGAGTTTCGGAATGGTAGCTAGAGGAAGAAAGGGGATCAAGCAATGGAACAGCAAAGTGATGAAGAAGAAGGTGATAGAGATTAAGAAATGGCATAACAAGGGGAAGAAGAACATGAAGATGACAGCCCAAGACCATTTCGAGTCTCCATGCAAAGAACTAACCGTGAAACCATGGAGTTAATGATATCTGAGATGCAGTAACTGCACACCGACTTTTATGGTTTTCGGATAGAAATGAGAGGGAGAATGACTAACGTGGAAGGAAAGCTTGATCGTCTTGTTAACCATTTTTTTCCTCCACCCCCACCTGATGCCACCTGACTTGATATTTCTTTAGTTTGGCTAATCTTTAGGATGGGCATCTTAGGGTTATGCATGTTATGCTTTTATTTGACTATGGATATTTCTTGAACCTTTTTATCTTGTTTTATGAATGGAAATGGCATCACTTGTGTTATCATGCTTTGTGAAGGGTTGTTTATGATTTTGATGATTATATGCTCTTATTGAGGGGGGAGCATTTTGTGCTTAAATTGCTCTTCTTAATGGTCATCATGCTTAAATGCTTTAAAGATTGATGTGCATGAATTAAGGGGGAGTTTGTTGATTATGTGCTTTTTGATGAATGACAAAAAGGGGGAGAAGAATATGCTGAATTTAATGTCATTTTCTACAGTACCTTGTGCTGAAATTCTGGTTAATATTGAAGTATATATGTGCTTTCATTAATTAATTCTCAAAGTGTTTTGTCATCATAAAAAAGGGGGAGATTGTTGTACCTATGATTTTGATGATTACAAAACACATTTGAGTGACTAATTGGTTTATTTAAGTGTGTAGTTAAGTTGCTAA